AGATTTTACGTGAAAAACTATTTTTTCTCTCTAACTAAAATCTCTTTCTTCTTCTCTCTTTAAGAAATGGACAAGGCTTATTTATATAGCCTGGTTTGGGACCAAAGGTGCTAGCCTTTAAAAACCTATAACTACCCAATATGAAACTAATGTATTAATAAGATATTAATGTATTAATTCAATATCGATAACTCCTTATCAATTTCTTTTAAATTAAAGTTCTTAGCATTACCACGAACCATTAAGGTGTGACTTTCTAGGTTCATAGTCAAACTAGTAACGAGTAATATTTAATAACTCATTATTAAATAACTCGTAAGTTATGAGTGACACCTAGCAGTATGTCATGATTACCTAGTTGACAATGAAATATATGTATATATATTATAATAAACATTTCCTTTACAAACATCATGCAACATTCCTTCCACAAAAGAAACTTGTTCCAAACTAGGTAAATGCCATGGTTAAACTTGATCAAACCCATAGACCTGGTTTAAAATGTGTATTCAATATTTTTAACTGAAGTCCAACTTCATTATACTCTGGCATGAGATTCTCATTATTGAATAGACTAGAACAACATCGTTACCTCAATGCGGTAGATTTGATCCTCTATTGAATATACACATGTCTCCGTACAATACTATACTAGGCCACCAAGTACACTTATAGTCCCATAAAGGAACAAAAGACATATACTGGCAAACACTAGTCCACCATATGTACGAGACAACGATGTCGTCTCAAGTCAAAGGACTATTGCATACTTGTAACATACAACATACCGATGACACATAGGTAACCACCATGCGGTATGTTATAGTCAATCATATATTATTCAACGACTTGTTCTCTAATAATCATCCACATGTTCACTCTCCATATCTCACACGGAATGACATGTGACTCACCATAAGAAGGACAATGTGGTAGTTTTATCAGAATTCTAATGCCTAAATAGAATTTCTATGACTCGAAACATTTTTACAATACTTTATTAATAAATTCTTCGTCACTCATATTCTTAACTCTTAATTAGGGGTGTTCATTCGGTTAACCGAACCGAATTAACCGATTTTTTTTTTTGCTTTAACCGTTAACCGAACCGAAATTTACTCTACCGAATTGACCGAACCAAATTTTTTTTCGGTTAACCGATTAACCAAAACTTTTAACCTTAAAATTTAAAATTCATAAAATAATTCCTAAAATAATAATTCCAATTAAAATAACATACATATCATAATAAATTCAGATTATTATTTATTCTATTTGACATTTTGACTATTTATAATTTTAGTAATTATATATTTAATATTTAATATATTATATATATTTTCCAAAATTCGGTTAACCGTTCAGTTAATTCGGTTAACCGACACTTTCGAACCGAATTAACCGTTAACCGAATTTTGGAAAAACCTTTAACCATTAACCGAACCGAAATATTTCGGTTCGAAAACGGTTAACCGAATATCGCCGGTTCGGTCGGTTAATCGAAATTTTTCCGAAATTTGCACACCCATACTCTTAATAATGAATAATTAAGAAGATTCTATGTAATAATATCAAATATTAATTAAGCCAAAAATAAAATAAATAAAAATATTTATTATTTATTATATTTATTTAATCAGAATACAACGCCCACAACCATAAGGGCCCGTTTACTAACGGGAAAATTTCTTCAGTTTTTCAGAAAACTAGAGAATTAAAGAATATAAAACATGTTTACTAGCACAATTTTCCATTTTGAAAACTGAAAACATTTTCCAATATTTTAGAAAATTGGAGAACTTTTAAAAATTATTTTCTAAATTGAAAACAGATCAGCTCTATAATCTATTTGAGTATTTGACTATATATATATATATATATATATATATATATATATATATATATATATCATTATTATTTACTTACATATTTATTCATTACTATGATTACATTCATTATCACCATTATTTACTTACATATTTATTCATTACTACAATTACATTCATTATCATCTTCTTTTACTTATCACCATCTTCCATCTTTTCACTCAAATAAATATATCCAAAGATATTTTAAATATTAACTCAAAAAATATTAATATTATCTAAACTAAATTTTAGAGGAACTTAATAAGTTTTAGTTTTAGTCGGATATATTTTTATTTATGTTATATACGGATATGAATTTGGTTCAGATATAAAATGTAAAAATCTTATATATATTAGACTTAAAATTAAAAATTATATTCATTTCATTTAAAACGAACATATCCAAAAAGATTTGAAGTATAAGGTCAAAAAATTAAGCAAAATTAAACTTGTGTTAATTACTTAATTTTATAACGTTAGTATAAAAAATAAATTTGAAAAATAAATTTATATTTGATTGAAATTATTAAAAAAAAAAAAAAGTCACCATGTACTCTACATGTAAGGAGGGTTTACTCTTGTTGGTTTGAGGCAATATATTGATATTATTGGTTACAAAAAATCAGAAATTATTAATATATGATTGTATTTTATGTAAAGAATTTTAATTACACCCTTATAATTACAGTTTTGAACTATATATATATATATATATATATATATATATATATATATATATATATATATATATATATATAGGCGGGTTCAGGTGCGGCAGTGTCTTACGGTGCGGCAACACCAATAGTTCACCAAATATGCATCATCAACGTTAGGAAATACACCACACAAAACAGAGTAAATAGAGCCCTGCATCACCAAACACACACCATTAGGTGTGAGTAAAAACACCATACACTGTTCGGAAATACACCATTGGGGGTGGTGAGTTATATGGTGTGTTTTTTTGAGTCTGTGGTGTATTTTGTGATGTTTTATTACATTTCATTGGGGTGTGTTTTTATTACACTGTTGGTGCATATTGTTAACACTGTTGGTGTATTCTGAAATTTGACCGCACCGCCGCATATGAGCGCTCTTCTATATATATATATATATATACTACTGAAAATTATGGAATTTCCGACCACCAGAAAAAAAATCTTAAATCAAGTTGAAAGCCTTGTTCTGACCACTTTTGGTGTCCAGAAAAACCTTTATAGCTATTTCCGACCACTTTTTGCTTTCGATTTGATTTAAGATCACTTTCAGGTGGTCGGAAATTTCATAATTTCCAGTAGTGATATATATATATATATATATATATATATATATATATATATATATAGGGAAGGGATCAGGTGCGGTTGTGCGATTGGACTTACATTAATAAGCATTAAACGGACGCACTTTAAGTACACAACTAAGGGTCTGTTTGGAAACTCGGAAAATGACTTCTGGAAAATGAGTCATTTTCCAAAAGTCATTTTCCTTTCCTGTGTTTGGCTGCACAATGGAAAACTGTCTTTTGGTGTTTGGTTCATTTTCCAGAAAATGATGGAAAACTGTCTTTTGGTGTTTGGTTCATTTTCCAGAAAATGAACAGAATGGCATACTTAAAACATTTTAATTATTATATACCGAATAATATACTTTTATTTTTGTTTGTAGAATATAACAATTTTTATTACAAATTATATGCAACATAAAATTTGATTGTATTTAATTCTAATGTCATTGCTCTCTATCTTTCTAGTAATAAAACTATTGTCAATAAGAAACTATTTGAAATCACAATTACATGTTAGAAACAACATAAATGTATAAATAATCAAGTCTTGAAAATTAAAGTCCACAAAGTGTTAGGATCCAATATAACAAGTACTAAGATCCAACATAACCAACCAACTACAAAACATACATAAAAAAAGACCAACTACAAAACATACATAAAAAAAGTCTTAAAGATTACAATCCAAGTCTTAACATGCATGTTAACCAACAAAAAAGACATACATAATTTAATCCGTAGAAGAAATAAATTTCTCAATCCATTTCCTCTTCAAACTTGCATTCTTCGCATTGAAAATTCGCGCCTGAACCTCATTTGTCATCAAGTATTCAAATATCTTACATAGGTCATTCTCATGAAAGCCATCACCTATGCTCATCACATCCGCAAACAATTGATTTTCATCAATACCGGTATTCAAAGATTTAATTGTCGTGGCAATGCTACCGAGCTGTTCAGCAATTTCATCCACCTTCAAGTCAAGTGGCTTTCGCTTCCGACCGGATCTTTGAGATGACGCAGTTGATGCAGATGTTTTTCCCTTACTTTCTTCATCAATGTTATCAGGAAGGGTTTCATTATTGTTATCAGGCAATATCTCATCATGAGGACCATCTAAATTAACATCTGCAAAAGACTTTGCAAACCGTCCTATGGCACAATCACTACAAGAAAAATGCACATAGACAACACTAGAAAGACAACAGTTTTTAACAAAAGTGTTGTCTTTTGTATAAACGACAACAGTTTGGTCCAAAACCGTTGTCTTTGATGCAACACTTTTGTCAAAGACAACAGTTTTTACTTAACCGTTGTTATAAGTGTGTTGTCTTTGTGCAATTTGACAAAAGACAACACTTCAACAACAACGGTTTTTAGAAATCGTTGTCTATGTGCGTTTTTTTTTTTTTTTTAAAGACAACGGTTTTATTTAACCGTTGTCTTTGATATGTTGTCTTTAACTCTACTTGACTCCAAAGACAAAGGACTTCCATTGAAATTAACTCAAATTTATTTTATAATAAATTTAGGCGACAAAAGATTATAAAGAGGTAAATCAACCTCCACTGAGCCCAGACCATTTCTGTGTAACTAATATGAAAATTTGAGTCAGTATTATACAATCATATACGTGGTTCTCTCTCTAGGTAGTGCTTAGAGAGTATCTCCCTAGTTTTCTAGGGTTTCACCTCCCCACTATGGCTGTTATCTCCCCACTACGTCGATTATTACTCTTCCACGTTACGTGGATGTATTTATACTCATGCATATCGCCGGTCTCCCTCCACCACCTTTACGTAGACATCAAACAAGAGCGTTTATCCGATCATCAACGATCCGTGATGGACATCAACGCGATCGCCTCTGGATGTGCCGTTTTATCATTGTCGGAAGAGGATGTCGGGGGTCTCGAGGCACCGGACATTCATACGATCCAAACGACAAACTCTCATCACGATCTGGTTGGGCGATTCCTGACGGATCGACCGATCAAATTCGACCACATGCAGCAGGTACTGGCCTCAGTATGGCGCCCAGTGATGGGCATGCGTGTTCTCCCGATGGATGACAACCTGATCGTATTCCAATTTCCGCACCTGAAGGATCTTCAACGCGTGATAGATGACGGCCCCTGGTCGTTCGAAAATCAAACGCTCGTATGTGCCACGGTTCCGACGGGCATCAGGCCTGATGAGGTGCTTCTCACCGGTATCTCGATTTGGGTCCAGATCCACGATCTCCCCACCATTTACGCATCATCTGATTTCATTGCTCGCATTGGCGATTATGTGGGCACTTTTCTGGCGGCGGATCCTCACAATTTTGGGGGATCTTGGCACAGTTTCTTTCGTATTCGTGTGCGTCTGGAGGTACAGACTCCTCTGAAGCGACGTATGAAGATGCACCGGAAGGATGGCACGGTCCAGTGGATCAATTTCAAATATGAAAGGTTAGGCACTTTTTGCTTTTGTTGTGGGGTGCTCGGGCACTCAGAGAAATTCTGTAGGAAAGTGTATGAGGAAGGCGTCACTCCTGAAGAATACCCATACGGGGCATGGATGCGGGCGGGGGCTCGACGTCAGGCTCGTCCAATTGGGGCGAAATGGCTCTTAGCCGATCTCCCACAAACTCCGACAGTCATGCAGGAATCCATCGTAGGGGAGAAGCCACGAGATGTGACAGAGATCGAAGAAGCCAGTGGTATACAGGGCGAGCTGAAGAGACGCAGGGAAGGGAGTAGCGTTGAGCAGGACGTGGTTATGTTTGAGAACCCAAAAAACTCATCTCCGGCGGGTCTGACAGCTCAGACTCGCCCTACACAATGAATGTTTTGAGCTGGAACTGTCGGGGATTGGGTGGCCCCAAGACAGTTCGGGAACTAGTGGACTTCGTGTCCATTAAACAACCCAAATTAGTGTTCTTGATAGAAACTAAATCATGTCTTGAGCACTTGGAACGCGTTAGAGTACGACTGGGATTTGATGGTTTACTATGTGTTGATAGAACAGGAATGGGAGGCGGATTGGCAATGTTGTGGCGGGACAAGGATATGGCAACCTTATTAAGTTACTCCGATAATCATATTGATGTGGAGGTTTCAATGCCAGGGGCACCTGTATGGCGACTGACTGGCTTCTACGGACATCCGGATCAATCGAAGAGTCCCCAATCTTGGGATCTTTTAAGGGAGTTGAGTACCCGATCAAATTTACCATGGCTTGTGATCGGAGACTTTAACGACCTGGCTAGTCACGCGGAGAAGAGAGGTGTTCATCCACACCCGGACAGATTGGTGAGGGGTTTCAATGAAGCGCTGCAGGACTGTGACTTGTCGGATCTGGGCATGTCAGGCTATGAATTCACTTGGGTTAAGGGACGGGGTACGGAGCATTGGGTTGAGGAACGTCTCGATCGGGCGGTTGCATCATCAACTTGGTGCGATATATATCCAGAAGCCGGGGTACGGAATATTTTAACTTTGAACTCGGACCATAGTGCCATTTTATTGTCTCTGGAGGATAGGCCGGAACGCAGGAGGATCAAAAAATTCAGATTTGAAGCCGCTTGGCTTCTGGACGGGGAATGCGGGAAGGTGGTGGAACACTCGTGGGGTTTCTCATGTGCCCTTGCTTTTCAACAACGGCTAGAACGTTGTGGCAAAGACTTGTGGCGTTGGGGTGGAGAGCATTTTCGCAAATTTGGGAAGAGAATTCAAAGTTTGAAGGCTCGGCTAGAGAATTTAAGGGGAAGCCGGCTTGACAGAGATGTAGCTGTGTACTGGAGTGTTGAAGACGAACTCCGCAGACTTCTGGCGCAAGAAGAACTGTACTGGAGACAAAGATCTAAACAGCTTTGGCTTCATGAGGGTGACCACAACACTAAGTACTTCCACAAAGTGGCGTCCAGCTGTCGCAAACGGAACACCCTTGTGCGCATTCGGGACATTGCTGGAGACTTCGTCGAAGGAGAAGGCATGCATGCGGAAATTTTGCGCTATTATAGGGACATCTTCACGGCGTCACCCTGTAATGACACCATCATGGACAGGATTCCGAGTCGGGTAACTGACTCCATGAATGAGCATTTGATGAGGCCTGTTATGGATGAGGAGATCAAGGCGGCTTTGTATTCCATAGCACCGGATAAGGCCCCGGGCCCAGACGGTATGTCACCGTCGTTTTACCAACATTTTTGGTCCATTGTTGGAGGGGATCTGTGCAGGTTTGTCAGGGACTGTATCCATAATTGCCGGCTGCCAGCAGGTTTGAACGAATCCAACGTGGTCTTAATACCGAAGAAGAATAATCCAGAGCGGGTGTCAGACTTACGTCCGATTGCGCTTTGCAATGTGGCATATAAGGTAATAGTAAAAGTCGTGGCAAACAGGTTAAAAGAGATTCTAGAGGTGGTGATCTCGCCATCTCAAAGCGCGTTTATCCCAGACAGATTGATAACGAACAACATATTAGTAGCCGGGGAGCTGGGACACTTTCTCAGAGGTAAGCGTACAGGGAATGTCGGTTGGGCGGCGCTGAAGCTGGATATGGCCAAGGCCTACGACAGGATGGAATGGGGTTTTCTAAGGGGTATGTTATTAGCGTTGGGGTTCGCCCGAGGGTGGGTTGACCTTGTGCTAATGTGTGTGGACTCCGTACAGTACAATATCGTAGTCAATGGAGATACAGTGGGCTCAGTTATACCAACGCGGGGCATTAGGCAGGGGGACCCATTGTCCCCGTATATGTTCATTGTCTGCGCGGAAGGCTTGTCTTTGTTGCTGCAACAAGAGGAGGCCCGGGGTAATATTCATGGTATTCGTGTAGCGCGAGCAGCTCCACCGGTCTCACACCTCTTCTTTGCCGACGATAGTATTCTTTATTTCAAAGCAGTTGAGAGGGAGGCACACACTGTCCGGGATTGCCTTGAGCTATATAGCCGTGTGTCGGGTCAAGCAGTCAATTTTGATAAGTCCAGCATTCTGTTTAGCGCCAACACCACGTCAAACACACAAGCACATCTAGCGTCTATTTTTGGGGTTCAACATGTTACTGATTTCGGGCGTTACCTCGGTCTGCCATCTTTTCTAGGCCGTAACAAATCTTTGGTTTTTAAATACATTGAACAACGAGTAAGAGATCGAGTGGTGTCGTGGCAGAAGAAGCTTTTGTCCAGAGCAGGTAAAGAGACACTTTTAAAAAGCGTTGCACAGTCAATGCCAATTTTTGCCATGTCTGTGTTTCTTTTACCGAGAGCTACCTGTGACTCAATTGAGAAGATCATGAACCGGTTTTGGTGGACAAGCGGGGGTAACACTGGACGAGGCATCCATTGGGCTTCCTGGTCTCGGCTAGCAGAGTCGAAACATGATGGCGGGTTAGGCTTTCGGCGCCTTCACGAATTTAACGTGGCCCTCCTAGCGAAACAGGGTTGGCGCATATTATCCAAACCCGATTCGTTGGTGACCAAGATCCTTAAGGCGAAATATTTTCCTAAAGTCGGCTTTCTGGAGGCAGAACTTGGCTCAAACCCGAGTTATTTGTGGCGGAGTATCCTTGCGGGGCAGACCATTTTGCGGGACGGCGTTGCACGCCGAGTGGGAGACGGCACTAGCACCCTCATCTGGGGCCATTCTTGGGTGGCCGACGCAACAAAGGGAGGCTTACTCACGCCATGCGTGCCTGAATTGTGCGAGGCCAAAGTGTGCAATCTGACCACGAACGAGGGCACTTGGGACCTAGAGTTGTTGCGAGACATTTTTCTGGCTCAGGATGTGGATCGCATTCTCAAAACACCTTTATCACCGCAATACGCAGATGACTGGAGGTGGATCCATGATATTAAAGGTATTTATTCCGTCAAACAGGGCTATCACATGCAACTCTCAAACCACATTAGGCACTCCCTACCTTCGGAGTTCACGGATTGGGGAAAGTTATGGCATCTCCCTATCCCGCCGAAAGTTAAAAATCTTTTGTGGCGTTGCCTAAGGGGTTTCCTACCTGTACAGGAGGCATTACGAACGAAGGGCGTGTGGATTGGCGGAGGATGTCCCTTATGTGCATCCGACAGCGAGACAGTTGAGCATCTGTTTGGTACTTGTATGGTTTCTCGTCTATTATGGGGCACGAATGATATTTTACAAGGGCGAACTTTTGCAGGATTCATGGAACACAACATGCGTACCCTTCCTGGACCGTCTCTTCTGGTTATGGCAGCGAGGATCTGGGTCATATGGAAAACTCGGAACAACGTGGTGTGGAATAACAAAGGATGGAATATAGATGAGTTAAGCCGACACGTTGACGGCCTCGTTGTGACTTGGCAGGATCTTCTACCAGCAGATCCTACATCTCGTCACCAGACTGAGCCTATCCGCTGGACTTCTCCACCGGAAGGAGTTTTAAAGTGCAATGTTGATGTGGCTGTGGCCGACCACGGTACTTTCTTCGGGGCGGTACTTCGGGATCATCGAGGGGAATTTGTGGCAGCATGCAGCGGCGAGTTGCATTGTATCCGAGACCCGTACTGCGCGGAGGTGATGGCGGCGAGAGAAGCTTTATCATGGATGAAGACGCAACAGGCTTCACGCTTTATTTTAGAATCAGATTGTCTTAATTTCTGTAATTGTTTTAATTCTAATAGTCCGGACCGATCATATACGGGCCGGTTAATCGAGCAATGCCGTGTCATTGCACGTGACATCGGGAATGTACTCATTCGTCATGTCAAAAGGCCAGCGAATCATGTGGCACATGTGCTTGCGCAAGCTGCTGGTTCTTCTTCTGTCCTTGGGGTGTGGATTACTCACCCACCAATTTGTATTTCCTCTTTGATTTAATATACTTCAGGTTTGTTTCAAAAAAAAAAAAAAAAACCTCCACTGAGAATCAAACTTAAAATATTGAGTTAATACCCAAAATGGTCCACGACTATAGTGATTTTTCTCAATTTTTTCATAAATGACTTTGGGGACCTAATGTAGTCCCATACTTTTACGTTTTTGCTTAATTTAGTCCCATGTTTGTTATTCAGTCAAATTGGTGTTAAATAATTACATTAGGATTATTACGTTATAAAAGATTGATTGAAGGGAAAAATATTAGAGGCCTCTAGCATTACTCTTTTTAAATTTACATTTCATATATCTTTACATTATCTTTTTTTTTTTTCAAATTCCTAATGTGGTAAAACAAAGTGATTAGAAATTTTATTTTTAATAAGAAACTCTAGGGTACTGGCCATTCTGAAATTGTGAGATTTCCAATCGTGTAAGTGTGCAACTCAATTCTAAAACTGAGAAAAATGATTTTTGTTATTAAAATTATAGTGATTATGTATTATGTAAAAACTATTGATACAGAAATAAATTGTGTGTTGCTGAAACATTACTATTTATAGTATTATTGGTCAAATTTCACATATTACGTAATTAAATAAATGTTTAATGAGAAGACACAGTAATTAAATTATAAAGAGAAAAAGATAACAGAAATAATTAAGGATAAGGGTTAAATAGACCCTCAAACTATATATCAAAGTGCAATTAGTCCGTTGAATTAAAAAAGTGTGCAATTACACTTTTTAACAAGTTATCAAAAAGTAACAAGTTAATTTGCTTACTTGGCATTTAGATGGCATTTCATTTAAATATTAAAAAAAAAAAAAAAACTTAAAAGAAAAGTCGCCGGATTCGTCCGTTCGTGGTTGCCCGCGACGGATTAGCCTCCGGATTCGTCCGTTTGACGCCGCCGTTACATTTGAACAGAGAAGCTCATTGGTTTCTCTTCTCCGTTCATGGAGAAGCTAGCAAGCTTCTTCGTCCAGA